CAGGTTCATTACGAATTTCTGGGCTGAGAAAACAAGAGAAAGGCCAAAAAAATTGAAAAAAAAGAAAAAAAAAGAAACAGAGACCTCCCACCGGAAATCACGGCAGAGTGCTTCCCAGCCATCAGATCACAAATGATCTGATGGTGGTGGTTGCAACAACAGTGAACAAAGTAACCGCCATTTTTTTCTGGAATAAACTCGACTTCTGTCAGCAGTGATCGTGACACCCTCCATATACTCCGTGATTGAAGGAGGGCTCCACCCAATGAGATAATTCCACAAGAACAAGTAAAATACTGAAAATCTTCTATCCAGTGGGCCAAAGGCGGACCCCACCCTCTTTTGGGGTTGGCCACACCCCCAACCGATTGAAAAGATTCTGGCGGGAAGCTTTCTTTGCACGGGCATGCCCAGTGTTGAGGAGAGGAGGAGGGGAACAAAGATCTCCTTACTTTTTTGGGTAATAAAATACAAGTAAAATACTGACCGTGGGATCACGAGTACTGCACGGCAGGATTTGGGTCACTCAACTGTCCCACAAACTCGTTTCTATCCTATCCCGTTGCTAGTGGGACCATGCTCCTGGACTTGGAAAAACAAAAAACAAAAAACAAAAAACAAAAAAACAAAAAACAAAAAAACAAAAAACAAAAAACAAGAAAACAAAAAACAAAAAACAAAAAACAAAAAAAAGAAAGAAAGCAAAAATGAAATATGGAAGAAAAAGAATTGAAAAAATAAAAAGGAAAAGGGCAGCTGGTAGAGTTCTACAGGAAGCGAGGGACGGGAGAGGGAGAAAGGGGGAGAGGAGGGAAATGGAGGATAAAGGAATAGAACTGACGAAAGACTAAACTTCCACAGAGACTCGCCGCTGGAGCCTGAAACAGACTATTATATGTTTTTAAAAAAAGGGAGAAAAAAAAAAGAAAAAAAGAAAAAGAGGAATGGTGCAAGAGGCCTGTCAGTGTTTGGGTTGCAGTGGAATTTGAGTTGAGGAGCCACCAACGTGTGTGTTCGTATCAAAATATGCGTATTTTCACTCAAGAAAAAGAGGAATGGTGCAAGAGGCCTATGATATCGTTAAGTGCCCACCCCTACAGACCGGACAGGACCCGGTCGGGTGTGGACTGTGGAAGCGCCATATCCAATTCTTGCAGTCGCAGTTGCGGCATCGAATGGCATGGCGTAGATACAGGTCACAGACTAAGTGGCTCCAACAGGCTAGATACAGGTCACAGACTAAGTGGCTCCAACAGGCTAGATACAGGTCACAGACTAAGTGGCTCCAACAGGCTAGGTAGGAACAGAGAGGCACTCCAACCACGATTGTATAGGCATTGCCGGTCGGTCTAGCCCCCGTCTACAAATTGGACATGCCATGTCAGGGCGGCGGGCGCTGTACACGAGTGCGATGTTGACTGTCATCAAAAGTAGGAAAACAAAAACTTGCACGGGCTACGCCTTCATCATCCTCACTAGACAAAGCATGTCGATCACATGCTAGCCGAATCTCGGGCAAAGCATCACAGAGCGACATCGAGCACTTTTCTTCGGTTTTCGCGGCCAATGATGCCTCTCTATGGTCAGGCAATGACTCGGCCTGGTCGGAAGCAAGGGTGTTTAGCTGTTGCAAGATTTCTGGTCTGCCACAGCTCGCCCTGGTGGTGATAACCTTTCAGTACAATGCACTGAAGGTGGCTCATACGAGCGCCTTCTTTCCACCTTAGCCTTCTGCGTCTGTTACGCTTCCACCGCAGGCTGCATATGCGACGTGCACGGAGAGGATCTGAGTGTCTGGCAGAGGGTAGAACGGGAGGTCCCCGCTCTAACCTTAGAGCGGCGTCCTTCCTCCACCCTACCCCCGTCCTACCCCCAGTTCGACGAGGTAAAGCGGCCCCCGCCAAAGAGCCACGTGCCAAGCAGGGGGGGCCAACCCCGTTCCGGTGGCATGGGGGGGGTGCCCCTGGCAGTCAGGATTCCCCCCGCGCTGTCGATTTCTTTTTCTCGATTTTTTAAAGAAATTTTAAAAAATGAAAAAAAAAAGGTGGGGGTTGGAAAATCACGTTTCCTGCCTGGAGGCACTTCCATTCGGAAGTTGCTCACTTGTGGAGGGCACAGTTTTGTGGGGAGAGAGAGAGAGAGAGAGAGAGAGAGAGAGAGAGAGAGAGAGAGAGAGAGAGAGAGAGAGAGAGAGGGGGCAGCGGCTGCGAGTGTCGGGGGCGACGGCGGGTGGGGGGAGGGGCGCGGAGGGGAGGGATTTTGAGGGTTGTAGGGGAGGTGTGTTCAGGAATGTTGGAG